TTTTTTTTTTTTTTTTTTTTTTTTTTTTTTCTCCTTTTTTGGTACCAGGGATTGAACTTGGGACCTTGCGCTTGTGAGGCAGGTGGCAGAATCATTGAGCTAACCCTGGCCCCTCCCATATAAGAAATATCCCATATAAAATGTATTTTTGGAGTATGTATTTGGTTAGAGTTTTTTAGCTTCCTTTCTCTATAAATTTCATTTTTAGTCTTTATTTTCTAAATAATTTCTCCAATAAAGCTTATGAGTTACTCTGGAATATTTTTCCAGTGATAAGTGATGTAATAAAATTTAGTAATCAGACTTTTAGTTGTCTGAAATGATTTGATTTTTGTTTTCCAGTATGTTTACTGATTTTACCATTTTTAATATAATATAAGCAAGTTTGTATATATCGTTATTCTCACCATTGGGATGCTTTTGTATCTTCAATTTGTTATGAATATTTTTAATTAAAAAATTAATGGAAATGCAGACCCTTAGCAGTTTTAATATTAACAGAAATTGTGAAATAAATCATTTTTAATACATAGTGACTGTAAACTTCACCTCTCTTCTGGATTTAGATTTCTGATTGTTGAAAGAATGAGATTTTTAGTGAATATAAACTATTATAGATTATATCTATTAGTTGGTGGGGAAGAGAGGTAAGAAATGGTGCAGAAAAAGAAATGTTCAGTGAAGAATGTCCATTATATTTTGTATTGTATATTTTACAAATGAGACTGTTGAAGTTTTTTTTAGTGGTGCATGTACTGTATAACTTTAGTAAGGAAATATAAGAAGAACTATTCCAAGAGAATTGAGTATATGATTATGTGAAGTTAGATGTGAGAAATAGCCTCTGTTACGTGTTCAGTTCTGTTAAATGCTTTCTTTATATTATCCTAGCTAACAACTATAGTATTAATGAAGTGCTATTAATGCCTCTATGTTACAACCAGGAAAATGGAAGCTTTGAAAAATAAGTTGCCCAAGATCACATAGCCAAGAATTTCTTTGTTTCTTAGAGATAGTTTTGGTGCCTGTGGTGGACTTGTTTGCCCTACTTTTAATTTTCTTTCAGAAATAAGTGGAAAGATTGTTTCAGACAATTAGTAGCTTTATGGGGCATTCTAGAGCAGGATGTTTCATCCGTTTCATATTGGACCAGTTTGATTGGGCAGATTCTTTGTATATAGTGCTGCATTGTAGAATTGTTACCAGAATCCCAGCACCCTGCCCATTAGGCCAGTAGCACTCTCTTCCATTTCAGTCAGAAAAGAAATCTGGCATTTCTTCTGGTGAGAACTACTGTTTTAAAGGTGGAAAAGATAAAATAGATTACAGTTAGATTTAAATATATTACACATTGAATAGACTTTTTTTGGTACCAGGGGTTGAACTCGGGATCTTATGCTTGTGAGGCAGATAGTGGAACCACTAAGCTAAATCCCCGGCCCTGAATAGACATTTTTATTTGTATGTCTCCTTTGAGATCAGAAGGGCTTAGCAATAAATTCTAGGGTAAGACAAAAAGTAAGTGTAAAAAAGTTATGCAGAAACTTTGGATTCACAAGAAGCATAATAATCACACAGTCACCTGAGAAAATTAAGCCTCTGTCTACTTTTAGGAGAGAGATCTTCAGTGATTCCCTAAGGTTTTGAAGCATAGTCTGAAAATTCCTGAGTTTCAGAAGTTCAATATAAATGTTTATCTGAGACACACCCTCAAATTAGTGGAATTAAAATACTGGTTTACATGGCCTGAAGATATTTTACTCCCTGACACAGATTTTGGGAGATCGCAGACATTGGAAGTAGTGTCCTTATGGGATAATTACTCTCAGAGGGCAGCTTTAATGGTCCATCGGTAGCTGAAATGATGAAGTTTGTATATTTCTTCTACTTCATTTGTAGATAGTCATATTAATTGAGGGGAAAATTATTGTGGTTATTATTTTACAAAGTGTAAATGAATTAAATTTAACTTGATAAATTCTGTTAGAAATCATTCTGAAGATGATAGTCTCTTAAATCAGGAGTTAGATTACCCTCTCAACTGTTAGAGATAATATATTCTTAGTTTTATGCATTTTAATAAAAGTTTTATGACTAGATCATTTTCTTACCAATAAACTTAGTAGTAAAACTTAGTAGTAAACTTAGTAGTAAAGTCTCCTTGTCTTGGGTAAATGTCATACTATATAGGAATTATGCTTCGTAAGCCTAAGAGTAAGTGAAGAATTGCTAACTGCTGGTGAACACTTGGTGTGGATTACACACACTTTGTTAAGCCCTGAGAAAACGGTGTTATGACTCATTATTTAGAACAAGGGGGAAATAGCACAACTGTAAGTGGTGGTGGTATGTATTCCCATGATTTGAGAGTGATTTAGTAATGAAATTCAATACATTTACCGATGAGGGTCTAAAACTACACTGGTCTTAAAGTAAGTCTTATTACTAAGCTTACTATGAGCAAATTATGTTAATTTTTCCTTTAATTTTAAATTGCAGAATTGCTTAGTAACTGCTAAACTGAAACTCCTGAAGTAGGAAGGAGGAAATGTATACTGTTGCACTACATCAGTAATTTTTTTTGATGATGTTCTTTTTAAAAGATTGATTTGCTTTAGTGACAGTTTGCTAATTTAGTGGTGGTGAAGGTGACTTTTAAAGCCTGTGTTGGCATGGTGTTAGATGTCATGTCTACTGTCCTACTGCCTTCGTGAAGGCAGGGTTCTATTTGTTCACCACTGTGGTTATAGATGTTTGTTCTAGTAGCTCCAGATCAAATTAGAACAAAAACTCCTAGATTAGATGAGGAAATTACAGAGGCTCTATCTAATCAAGATTTGGATTGTAAGGTTTTTGTTTTGAATTGAAATACATCCTGATAGTGGCCCACTGCAGGGAGTTTGAACAACCCAGGTGGGCGTGTTCAGTGTGGTGGGCTGCAGAGCATCGGCAGCTGCTGTGGTCTTCCTACCCTTGCAAGTGCTAGCAAGTTTGCCATCACTGCTGGACTTGCAGTGAGTTACAGAAAATGCAAAATTAATGTTTTGAATGACTGCGACAGGTTGTAAATTTTTGTCTTATAGATTATATTAGACTACTGACTCAGTTCTTTCCTACAGATATGTTTTGGGATTTGAATGTTAGGTAACTGATTTTTTGATGCATTGGAAATTAGTACTACAGCATTTGGTGTTAAACTTGTTTTTCCTCTTTCCTATTTATGTTTACATTATAAGAATTTATGATTTACTAAAGCGAAAGCTTGACAATGTATTTTTCTTTACAAAAATAAAACTGATGGTCTAATATTACCTTTTTCTTTTCTTTACCTTGGTACTTGGGATTCAATCCAGGTTGTTTGCACTGAGCTGTATCCTCAACCCTTTTTATTTTTATCTTGATTTCATCTGGCATTCTTGCTAAGTTGTCTGGGCAGCACTTGAATTTGGGATCTTCCTGTCCTAGCCTTAACTTCTTTTCTTGTGGCACCTTGTGTCTTTTCAAAATACATGGTTCTCGGACCGGGAATTTAGCTCAGTGGTTCCGCCCCTGCCTTGGAAGCGCAAGGACCTGAGTTCGATAGCTGGTACCAAAAAAAAAAAAAAAGATTTCAAAATACATGGTTCTCCATTTAAAAATCTGTTTCAGGTTTTTAAATACAATGCTGTCTGTCGTACCATTCCTAAAATAAGATATTTGAAAACCCTTTTCAGTGCTGAGATTCCTTTTTAGTGGTGATAAGTGTGCTACAAAAGGAGACTTTGGAGATTCTCTTTTGGTGGTGATCACTTTCAAAAGAGATAAGTTGTGAGTATGAATGGATCTCATAATTCCCATCCCCCCTTCTAATGAAAGTAAAGTACTTAGGCTGAGCGTGGTGGCGCACGCCTATAATCCCAGCACTCGGGAGACTGAGGCAGGAGGATCGCTGTTAGTTCGAGACCAGCCTGGGCTACATAGTGAGTTCCAGGTCAGTCTCAACTACATAGTGAGACCCTGTCTCAAAAAACCAAAAAAAAAAAAGTAAAGTATTTAAAGTTTTCATTTGAGCCTTTGTATCCATCAAAGAGTTCTTATTAAACATAACTATCATATGATTTAGATTGGTAAAATGAAACATGTCTTTGAGGTAAAATGTTTTCATTAATGCTAGTGATTCTATGAAAAAAGTAATAGGTACAAATATTAGCCTAGTAAGCTGTTAATAGTTGTTACTAAGAAAGTCTTATAGAGTAGAAGAAAATACAGTAAGCATACCTGGAACATTTCTTACTGTTTCAGTTCATAACTGTGTGCCTTGATTATCTGAGGTTGCAAGTGAAATTGCACAGAGCATTTATACTGCTGACACCAGGTTATATCTTGGACTTTTTCTTTTGGAAAACCTGGTTTTGTTTTGTTTTATTTGATGATGTTTTGAAACAGGGTTTTATATAGTTCAATTGGGCTTTTAACTCACTGTGTAGCCCAGGGTGGCTTCAAACTCATGGTGATTCTCCTGCCTCAGCCTCCCATGTTGTTTTGATCTTTGACGAGTTGGCCTTATATCATGGTTGTCTTTCTATAAAGTGCCATCACCAAAGGAATCCGTCTTTGCAGTAAGCCAGGGTATTTGAGTCACAGTCTTGGTCCTTGTTTTGTCAGTTATTGTTTTTTGTTTTACAATACTATATAGAAATTTATTTGCCACATTCATGGCAGCTTCTACTTAGCGCAGCATTTTATTGTTTCAGGCCAACATTTGTTTTCTTCGTTTAGTTGAAATAAAAGAATAAGAGCAGGGCTGGGGATTTAGCTCAGTAGTTCGGTGGCCTGCCTTGCAAGCGCAAGGACCCGAGTTCGATCCCCACCCAAAAAGAATAAGAGCAATGTATATTGTTTTTGCAAAAGTGAGGTTACAAGGAAGTGAACTGGGTATAGTTCAATAACCTTTATACTGTTACATAAGCCATACTGGATTTGTTGTATAAGTATCACCATTTAAAAATTGTAATTTCTAAACTAGGTGTGGTGGTGTACTCCTGTAATCCCAGTACTTGGGAAGGCTGAGGCAGGAGGATTGCTCTGAGTTTAAGGGCAGCCAGAACTACATAGCGAGACCCTGTCTCACCCCCCCCCATTAAAAATTGTATTTTGGGGGGGGTTAAAATATCATTAACCTTTTTTTTGTTTTTATGAGATAGAGTCTCACTCTTAGTGACTTCATTACTAAGTAGTTCAGGCCGGCCTTGAACTCTCAGTGATCCTCCTGCCTCAGCCTCCTGAGTGCTGCGATTATATTCAGACATTGTTCTACAAATTCATTTGTAAGCCCTTAGGGGTCTCCTCACTCCCCCCCCCCAAGACATTTGCACACCCCTTAATGTTTGTGAAAATTCTGTGATGCATGTATGACTCCCCTCCTACCCCACATACTCCAGCTGTTCAGCTGATAGTTTGGCCCAGTCAACTAGATTTTCAGATGAATTCCCTCCACTTTTCTAACCTCCTTTTCTTCCCCGAGTCATGGCAGTTTCTTTGCTGATTTCCTTTCTTCTCCCTCCCAACAGAAATTTCCACACAGTATCGGCACGATGGAGCTTGTCCAACAACTAGTAAGTTGCCCACGTGGGCTCTTTTGATTCTTTAGTGCTTTTCCTAGGGTATTGTACCACCTTTGAACTTCTAACTTTTATTTCCCAAAATGCAGTTTATTCTTAATTGAAAATTCTTCTCCTACAAAGATATATTAATGTACTGTTTTGTCCTGTGTTCAGGATCTGTGTTACTGTCCGATCATGAGCAAACTGTAATCATTATTGGTCTTTTAGTATAGCTCTTCCATTGTAGAATTGTGACTTCTGCCCCTTGATGAAATACCATTGTTTTAATGTTAATTTTTCAGTATTTTACATTGTTGTTAGGTAACTTTCTTGCTTAGATCTCGATGTATATTGAGTCCTCTACTGAAGTCTAGGAAATGAGAATGTTTGGGAGGGTTGCATGATACATGTTGAAGTTTTTCTAATATGTATCATTGAGCGTACCTGAAGGTAAATTTGCTTATGTAGAGCGACATCCTGTACGGACTCATTTTTACCAGGAAGTTGCATAGATTACTAAGCATTTTTTTTAAAAAAGTAATTAAAATACTGTATATTGGTAAGTCGAGTACAATGTTTAGAAATTTATATACTATGTAAAAAGTAAGTGAAGCTTGCAGTTGTAATAATTCAAGCAGTAATACCTGACTTCCTGAAATTTCATTATACTGATTCAGTCTATGCCATTGTATTTCTTTTCTGTTTTTGAAAATGATCTTAACCTGAAGTCCTTTTTTCCTTACTTAAAAGCTTTCTCAGAGTTGCTGAATGCAATACACAATGGTAAGTTTTACTAGCATCTTCTCTGGTGGTTGCCAGTTGAAAGCTAGTGTGTTGTGTGGATTGGGTGAAGCAGGAGCTGCGCATCTGCGCTCCAGGGGCTCCAGGGGCCTGTCAGCGTGGCTTTATTGTCTCCTGGTGAAGCAAAATGTTAAGTGTTTTAAATTTCTGAATGCCTCTGTGTTCTCAGATCCTTCCTGTAGTTTTTTTTTTTTTTTTGAGCTCCCTTTTGCTACACTGTGCTTAGTAGTCCCTGTATGAAGAATTTACTTGAAATATTAATTTCATTTTTTAAAGTTTTAGTTTGTTAATGTATTGAACACATAATTTTCCTTTTACATTTCATTTAAAAAATAAATGAGAAGTAGAATTTTAAATTGCACCTAGTTTGGTGCCGGTGGGGTTGCATTGTGTTGGATTCTGAATCAGTGCATAAGGCAAAAGCTACCAATTTTCACTTGCGCATTGTAATTACAATGAAGAACATTCTTTTAAAAATGTAAGGATTTTTTCAGTTTTTCTAAGACATTCTGTAATTTTGTACCTTTAGAAATATTCCTTGAGCCTACTTACTTTTGTTGATTTATTTTTTTAGTTATTAACTGACCTAACTCAATTGTTGTGCAAGACTGTTTCTATGATTTCAAGCAGTTTTCCATACATATTCTTTAACTTTGTGAAAGTTGGCCCACTTTGCAGATGTATTTTAGTTTGCTGTTGGTTTGTGCATGTCTGGATTATGTCCTCAGGTCACCAGTGGCTTGGGCTCAGACCAGTGCCTTCTGTGGTTAGGGGGCAGTCACGGTGGCAGCCCCCTGTGTGATGGTGTCACTGTCGAGTGTGTCCATTTATAACTTTTGCTTCCCTGTGCATGCTGTACCTGCAGAAGCTTTAAGAACCCGATAACAAAGAACTCGTATCTAGAGCAAAAAGAGATTGAAGCATTCTTAAGAATAACTAAACCTATTACCATTATTGGATAAAGAAGTACAAAAGCTGAAGAAATTTAATATATTTTTTGGTTTAGGTAGAGAAATTTAGACTTGCCCTTTTATTCTGGGTCTGTTAGGATTTAGAAGGTCAGATACACTTGGAATGAAGCAAAGAAAGGAGACTCTGAAATTTTGAGTTGTACCTGTGGGCGTGATTGCACACACCTGAATGCTAGCACTTGGGAGGCGGAGGCAGGAGGTTTGCCATGAGTTTTGAGGCCAGCGTGGAATACTAGCAAGACCCTGTCTCACAAAAACAAGCAAAAAAATAAATTAAAAAATTTAGTTTTAGATTACGTTTGAGAGAGAACTCTGCATTACTGTATTCACATGCTTTGTGTTTTCTCAGTCACAGAACAGAGAAAAGAAGTGGAATTTACATTTTTAGTTGCAAAGTCAAGTGTAAGATTGATCCCCAGAGAGCCCGGGATTTAGCTCAGTAGTTCTGCCACCTGCCTTGCAAGCACAAGATCCTGAGTTAGGTCCTGGTATTGTCCCCACCCCAGAAGAAAGGATTGATCCCCCAGTGAATGCTTGTAGGTTATTTCTCCATTCGTTCTTCAAAAACTAGACTTTGAGAAAAGCACAATCAAGTACACATAACAGATAGTTTTTAAAATTTAAGTTAGAGTTTTGTGTTTTAGCTGATACATAAGAATTATACCTATTAATGGGATAATGTGACGTTTCAGTGCATGTATACATTGTGTTTGAGTCAGGTTAAACATATCTCTTTGTACATTTATCATTTCTCTACAATGAAAGTTTTCTAAATCCCCCTTTCTGGTGTGTTTTGGAGACAGGGCTCTGTGTGTAGCCCTTAGCTTGTGATCCTCTGGCTGTGGCCTTCCCAGCGCTGGGTTTACAGGCACTAGTCCATTGTCATTATTACTTGTAGATAGTTACCCTACTGTACAGTAGCCCAACTCAACTTCTTGCTTCTGACTGTAACTTAATATCCAGTTGTCTTTCTTTTTAAGTTCACTAATGTTCAGCATTTTGGCATTGCTCAATGGATCTCCAGAACATTTCCATCTTGCAGTACTGAGGTGCTGAGCTTTGAAAGGGAAACTTCCCTTTCCCCATCTGGTGAAAGCATGCATCTTTGGTCCCCTCTTTCACCATAAGATGTTAGTGCTGGGTTTTGTGTAGATGCCCTTTATTAGGTTAAAAAAATTTGATTATTGATTTAAAATATTTGTTTTAGGCTTGTTGGTTTGTGTCTTCTTTTGTCAGTTTTGGTAGTTGTATGTTTGCCATTTCATCTATATTGCTTAGTTGGCATATGCTTATTCATAGTAAAAGGCCTTTTTTTGGAATTGGTAAGGATGGTAATAATCTCATTCTTGATTTTTAGTAAATTAAGTCTCTCGATCAGTCTACTTGATGGTTTGTACTTTTGTTGATCTCTCAGATAACTAACAAGGGTTTGTTAATTTTGTCATTTTCCTATGTTTTATCTTGGCTCTTAACGTTTTTTTAAAATTTAAAATTTTTTTTTGTTTTTTTGAGACAGGGTCTTACTATGTAGTTGAGACTAACCTGGAACTCACTATGTAGTCCAGGCTGGTCTCCCTGCCTCAGCACAGCTATCCTCCTGCCTCAGCCTCCCGAGTGCTGGGATTACAGGTGTGTGCCACCATACCCGGCTTGCTCTAATTGTTTTATTATTTCCTTCCTTCTGCTTACAGTGATTTAGTTTGTTGTTCCTCTAGTTCTCTCTCCTCCTGCCTCAGCCTCCCGAGTGCTGGGATTACAGGTGTGTGCCACCATACCCGGCTTGCTCTGTTTTATTATTTCCTTCCTTCTGCTTACAGTGATTTAGTTTGTTGTTCCTCTAGTTCTCTAAGGTCCAAGTTAGGTTATTGATTTGAGATCTTTTTTTTCCTTTCTGAAGGTAAGCCTTTACAGCTACCCATTTCTGAGATTGTCTCAGTATCTTACAGTTTCTTTGGTTACTCCTTAATAATTTTTCCCTTATTATTTTCTTCTCTTTTACTTCCTATACCAAGCATATTCGATTGGAGAATATCTTATAACTACTTAGAGCTTCAACTATCACTTGTATTTGATTTTTTCATTATTCATTAGTCTGTGCCTTCTAGACATTTAGTTACTGGGGGATTGATGTTGGATCCTTGTGCCTTGTGAGGCAGCTGCTGGAACCACTGAGCTAAAGCCCCAGCCTGATGATCATTTATTTTAAAAAATTTTTCTTGTGCTTTACCAGTTTACCATTTTCTAACTTTTTATTTCCATATGTTGCTTGGTCAAGTCTTATACGTTGTGTCATCTCAGTTTTTCCAGCGAGGTCTTAACCTTTACTCTATTATCCTGTCGCTTCCTTAGATGCTACCAGAATTGATGTTTTGTTTAAAGTGCACACAACCAGGTTTCACTTTCTTACAGAATCTTTTGGTACTTAGGGGATAAAATTATAACCCTTAACATAGCATATGGAGCTTTTCATACCTGATGCTTACCAGGTTCTGTAGTTTCATCCTCCCAGAATTACACTGCCATGTCAATTACTTGTAGTTTCCTGATATGCTATACTAGTATTTGTAAAATATGTAACTTAAGGTTTTTGTTATATATGATGTGTGTCCTTCTTCTGAGTTCTTGTGACTAGTAAAAATTGTTTTTGGGTGGAACTGGGGACTAAACCCATAAAACGAAGCACAGTTTTTATCTCCTGCAAACTGTGTTGACTTTTTTTTTTGGTACTGGGGATCTGTACTCTGGTCCTTGCACTTGTGAGGCCAGTGGCAGAACCTCTGAGCTTAAATCCCTGGCCCTTGACTGTTTTTGATAATAACACTTTTTTAAAAATACTTTTGCAATCTTTTTTTGTTTTTTGTTTTTTTGGTACTGGGGATCAAACTCAGGAACTTACACTTGCGAGGCCGGCAGTGGAACCACTGAGCTAATTCCCCCGGCCCCACTTTGGGATTCTTGTACGTGGTGTTGTATATACTTTCTCCAGTATGCCTCTTATTATTTTTCCAAACAATCATTTATGTTTCTGTGATCTATATCTTAGACTTATTTATCTCTTATTTGTGAAATTGTATCTCTTATAAGGCAGTTGAGGGCCAGGGATGTAGCTCACTGGTGCTGTGCCTGCCTGACAAGCACAAAATCCTGAGTTTTTTGTCCCTGGTACTGAAGGAAAACAACTAACGGTTGAGACTCTGGAATGTTTTCATCATTTACTCTCTCTCTCTTTTTTTTTTTTTTTTTTTTTTTACACAAAACATTATAAAATAAAATTTTACTGCTTTGCTGAAGCAGTTTCATTGTTCTAAAAAAATGAATAAAAATATAAAGATCAAAGAACTGTTAATAGTCAGACACCGAGGGTAAGTGGACATCTTGATCTCTCTCTTTGTGACTTAGAGCTTACTGGTAATTGTTATTTAGAACCTCACCAATGCAAAGAAAAATATTCACTGATCTCATCGATTTCACTTATTGTACATTTAAATTTCTTTTACTTATGACACTTCAGGTTTGTTGTGACTGTTCTAATTAAACAGATCTCATTTAATGAAGTGATAATGTTAACCAGCTCTTCATATGTCTTCTGTAGGATGAGTATAGTGTGAGTGCTTATTGATTAGAGGTAAAGTTCTTCCTCAAGGGTAAGATTGTACTCAGATTTGTCAAGACTAGTTTGTAGGAAATGGGATCTTTGTTCTTTACCATGTGTCCCCTTTGTATTTCAAGAAAAGTTTTCAGCTGTGGGTAGGAACCGAAGGAAAAGAGTGAAGTAGCCCTGATGCAGAAGTGTGGCACATTGAGGACCACTTGTGAGTCCCTGTGTGTAGTGAAGTATTACTGATGGCCCAAGTGAGTTGTCACCTGTGAGGAGCATGGAGCTTGAGAACTCTCTATCTGAGTCAGCTGTGGGGCGTCTTCGAGCTTTCAATGACATGGACAGCCCACTGCAACACTCCTGCTGTAGGTTCACCATCGCTCATCTAGGTTGTTCTAGATCTGATATTTCCC